GTCGGTGTCAATATTTTTTAGAAAGAGTTAAGTCCATGAAATTAACGAAATTCCATGAAATTAAATTAATTTCCACGAACAGATTCAAGGTGGAGTGTACTAAATCTATAAATAAGTAATCAATTTCCATCGTGAAAATAGAATATGTAACTTAATTTCTCAGCATATCGCCCTCTTCTCTGATGAACAAAGGGTGGAAATGTATGTGCCTAAATTCCGCAAAATATGTATGTATGTAATATGTGCTTAAAAAACCTGAAAATATGCACACAAAATATTTTTCAACTTCAATTTTCTACTATATTTATGAAATATAATTTTGAGAAAACCATAATTTCTGAATGATGAAAAATATTTTTACATAAAAACCTTCGAAATATTTATCTACTAAAATATGTAGTTTTAGAAAAATACTCGAAATATACAGGAAAATATGTATATGCACGAAAAATCCTCAAAATATGTATGAAAATATGTAATATGTACGAAAATCCTAACATATGTAAAATATGGGAAACTAACTATGTTTGAATTTTTGCGATCGTGCTTAGCTGGGAGGTCTGCATCCGAAGTTTTACGATCTGATTTGGTATGAAAAAGTTAGAAATTTTTACATATGTACATATCCGCCTTCTGCTGAAGAACTTGTGAATTTTTATGGATAACTATTTAACTATCCTATTTTTTCTCGGTTTCCTACTCATTTCAGGAGGCAAATAATTCCGACGACTTTTTATTCTTGAACCAATCGAGACATTTACCTGGATAAATTTGTCATCCAATTTCTCAAAATTACAAATGTAAAAGTGGTCCAATTTTTAGAACGTGATCTTTCCAAGAAGACTTTTTAGAAAGATTCGAACTTTATTCGAAATTTATCATTCAATTACCTAATGAAAAAACAATGTCGTTTTACACAATTTTTGTGTGGATAGTCTCAATACTAAATTGTTTTGCAGGTACATACATATTTACATAGGTAAAAGTGGGTGAAACCAAGATGATTAATTGTATTCTAAATTTATCATGACCATATTTGTCCTGACTAAAACCGGGACATTTTTTGGCAAAAAATAATTTGCATAATAAATAGTGCTTGGCGAGAAAAATTGCATATCTACTGTTTTGCAAAAAAAAATTGCATAATATCTAGTGCTTGGCGGTTCAGATATCACTGAATTAAAAAATAAAAAACAGGAAAAGCAATTAAGTAAATATCACATGCACGTTACTGTATGTATGGGCTAAAATCTACTTTTTCATCAACATTTTCGCTAAAAAGTGAGATAATGTAATTTTTTCCTACGATTTTAAAAACCCGGACAAGTTTTTAATATCTCGATATGGAATTGATGCAACACCAATGCTAAATAATTTTACGCAGGGAAATTAATTTATTTTCATGAGTAAGTAAAGTATTCATGGATCGGAAATATTTCATGGAAACGTTCATATCCTCAGGATCAAATTTATTACCAGATTTATATACGTATGTAACTCTAGATAAGTATGTACACTCTTAAAAACCCGGTTTTTAATCGGCACTAAACGGTATGCATATGTGACTTCACCAAATGGTGATACTGTTTATCACCGCTTGGTGATAAATCTTGACCGCATGGGGACAAATTGTCACTGGCTGGTGTTAATTTTACTACCATTCGGTGAGACAGATTACTACCGCATGGTGAAGTCACATATACACACCGTTTGATCACGATTAAAAACCGGGTTTTAAGAGTGTATGTATATAAGCTTTAGCCCTGGATAATAACGCCATAAAATTTACACGTGTACATAATGCTCTTATTTAAAATTTATATCTTAAAATTTGTACAAACAATATCAGTACCCGCGGAAGCTGTGAGGACATTAATATTGTAGGAATATGGGGCATGTGGACATTACCCGAATCCATCCGCGGCCACTGGTCCAAACACTCAAAATAAGGTAGTAATGAATCATTACCATGCGGAATCACTATGTGGCTCTACCACGTCGATTACGATTTGTCGTAGAAATGGTAATAATAAGTTCAGGGAAATTCAAATTTAATACATAATGGTATTCACTTCTTTAATATTTGGTAATGAATTTGAATTTCCCTGAATTTATTATTACCATTTCTACGACAAATCGTAACCGACGTGGTAGAGCCACATAGTGATTCCGCATGGTAATGATTCATTACGACCTTATTTTAAATGTATACATATGTACGTACACTCAAAATAACTTCATACAAATTCACCTTATACATAAATTCTAATCGTCACTTTGATGCTTATTTAATAACGTTTAGAACTATGCAGTATGTACGTATGTACTTCATTATCGTATGTATGTACGCAGTGGCTGCGGAAGCTTGAGGGGACGGAGGGACAACCCAGCAAACGACATCACATCATATGATTGTCTGTAGATTGCCACATGATCATCGATCCATCGTGGACTCATCATAATCTTAGCAATAGATCTTATGGCGATCATAAGACCATCATATGTAAGATGCCTATCCTGCTCCAGGTTCACTTCTCTATGATGATCATTCGATGATCATAAGTTGATAGGTTTATGATGACAACATCTCATCACCTGTAACTCACTCATACTGTGTGATAGAGATAAGACTTTAACAGTTCCTGTTGCAATTAGCGAAATTAACTACCATATTTTTTACAATGGATAGAAAAAGAGCCATTCATTCACTATCAGGGCGACAAAAGCTAAGAAGAGTGAATATGGAGATGGAAGAGCTTATTTCTGGTGAATTTTCCAGTTCATTTGTTCCCGAACCTCCGTCATCCAGTTCAGATAAAGAATTAATTGTGAATATTAATGAGGGAAAGGATTCATCTACGTGTGAAAGTTGTTCATCGATAAGTGAAGATTCCGAGACCTGGGATGCGTATCTGTTTAGTGAAAGCGAGTCTGACAGTGAAAGTGATAATACAAATAACAATAAAATCACAGAAATAGGAAATCCTCTCCAAATATGCAACTCCAATAAATCCAATATTCAGGAAATAGATGTTGATAAGATCAGGAAAGCTTTGTCCAACTGGGCTGTAGTAACAGGGGAACGGGGAAACAAATTAAGATTACTTCTGCTGGAACTCAAGAATGCGGGTATTGACGGGCTTCCGAGTACTCCTGACTCATTACTGCATATAAATAGAAGGGCAGTAGATTTGGAAAGCTTTTCAAACGGAGAATTCTTCTATTTTGGGGTTCGGAAAATGATAATGTATGAGATCAACTCTGTCCAGGACTGTATAATTCAGGATCTTGTGTTAACTGTCAATGTGGATGGCATCCCTCTATTTAAAAGTGACACAACAGAATTTTGGTGCATTCTGGGAAAATGCAACGTCCCTCACACATCCGTGTTTCCAATTGGGATCTGGTGTGGCCGTGGAAAGCCAGACGTTAAGCCATTCCTCTCAAAGTTTGTGGAAGAAATTAACCAGTTAACGTCTGAAACATTTTGTATGATTGGTATGCAACCAATCAAGCTAAATATGGGGCCAATACTTGCTGTCGCCCCTGCCAAGGCATTCTTAAAGTGTGTTGTGCAGTACAGTGGGTATTATGGCTGCGATTACTGTGTACAGAAAGGAGAATATGTAAAATCGGTGGTTTTCCCTTTGGTGAAAAGTACCCTTAGAACAGACTCATCATTTCGCCATCGACACTATCCAGAACACCATAAGGCTGAGCGAAGTCCTCTAGAAAATGTTCCGGGCTTGGATATGATTTACTCCTTTCCCCACGATCCTTTGCACCAACTTTACTTAGGTGTTATGAGAAGGAACCTTTACATGTGGTGTGTACAACGAAAGGGAAAGTTCCGCCTCCGCCCTCCTCTTATAAAGAAGATGAGTGAAAGAATGCAAAGCTATGCAAAATTTGCCCCCCTGGAGTTCAATAGGAAGCCGAGGGCCATCCAATTCCTTAAGCAGTTTAAGGGTCAGGAGTATAAGCACATTCTCATCTACTACTGCTTTCATCTTCTTAAAAACGTAACTTCCGACGATCAATATCAACATTTCCTTCATATGCACGTTGCCTGTTACATCTTTAGCTGCCCTGAACTCATATCAAAATTCGGTAATCAAGCAAACTACTTCCTATACAAATTTGTTGTTGAAGGAATGGCAATATATGGAAGGGAATATGCTGTTTACAATGTCCACAACCTTGTCCATCTATGGGATGACGTAAATAAATGGGGAACAATTAACGATTTCAGTGCTTTTGTGTTTGAGTCATTCTTGGGAAAGCTGAAGAGAATGTTAAAGAAGCCAAATCAGCCACTCATGCAAGTTGTCATTTCACTTCTTGCCAAAATGGATAACACTGACAAGTTGGCCCAAAGCAGAGAAAGAAAGGAGGCCCTACTCAATCCCATTGTTACCGATCCGGGAAAGTTTTCCCGACTGGAGACAAACATATTCACTATTGATTGCTTAAAGGATGGGAATAATATTGTACTCTTATCGGATGGATGTGTTATGTCTGTGGAATACTTCAGAAGACAGGATGGAACAATTCTGCTCGGAGGGTATTGCTTTGCGGTGTTAGAAAGTGCTTTCAAATATCCGATTGACTCCAAGCAATTAGGGATATATAAAGCAACTGAATTGGAATTGGATATCAGAGAATCTACGATAAGTGAAATCAGTGCGAAAATGTGTGTCATTCCAGACGAAGAAGACAAGGACAACACAAGAGACAATGATCACATTCTTCATCTGGTTCCGCTTTGTAGTACAAGATGAGATTTGAGGCTGATGAGGAATGGAGGGCTTGTTTGGTGGGAAATGGTCCGCTCTTTCTTTTCTTTCTTCTCCTTCTTCTCCTCAAAAGCTCTCGTCCCTCCTTCCAAATAAGAATTTAATTATTTCTAAAAATTCCTCAAAACCTCTCACGTTAATAAATTGATTAAATTATTCCAAGTAGGTAGGAGTTGATATAAAAGATTAGGAAACTATTGCAATTGGTAAATAATTGTTTTTTAAGTAAAGTGCTGTGTGCGTTGTCATTAACAATCATCAGAAAAAAGTCGGATACGGATAATGGGTTTCAATGTTGTATATCACTATCTGGATGAGGACAAAATACAGAAGGAGTTTCTTATTGTTTTGGACCTCTGGATAAGAAAGGAAGAGACAAAAAAAGTGCTATGTGACGACAAAGGTAATCCTCTTTACCACGACAATGGTGAGGTGAAGGAGGCGGTATTCAACAGTTATGTCTTCAAATGGCCGACTACCTCTGGCCCTTGGTCTAATACGAAATTGAGGGAACTCTACCGAAAAAAGGAGATCCCGGACTCTACATGGGAAGAATATAATTGTTGCTTTGTGAAGAGAAAAGGTAGGTGGTGATTATTGTGGATGTGATAAATTTCAATTTAGATGTGACAAGTTATTGTAAATTTCAGAAACTTATGCAACTGCTGAGAAGATACTTCGGGCCTGCCAGGAAGCAGAGCGTAAAGGGGAAAGCATTGCTGAGGCTGCCAAATCTGCTGACGACGAACCACCGCCAAAGGAGACAAGGAAATTTCGAGCCCTAAGAGCCGAGGAAGCATCAAGGAAAGTAGCATGGCCTCCAAGAAGGAAGAGGCGTTCTGGTCCCAGCCTTTGTAGAGTTGAGGACCTTCATAGCCCTACCATTTCAGACTCAGAGGATGGCAGCCCTCCCCATCACAAGGGTACCGACTTAGAGTCCGATGATGACTTGGACGATAGTGTCCTTCAATCCAATCAGAATGCCCTTACCTCCCTACAACAATCCCTCAACAACACCAACTCTACACCTAGTGCTTCCCCACTGCTACCTCCGCCATCAACCCCACTCGCCTCCACCCCCAAAAGAAGGAAGATGAAGGATGAGGATGAAATCCTAAGGAAACTGTATCCAGGTGTAGACTTGGACAAGCCTATAACAGGAAGGGATTTTCTGAAATGCCGTAAGTTGTCCCCTTTTTTCTCATTTTATAAATTAGTTATTTACATAATAATAACTAGCTCTATTATTTTAGATCGCATCTTAATGAAGGCTGTTCTACAGTTGAAGGGAACATACTCTTCCCAACCATTGTGTGAGAATGAGGTTTCCGGCGGAACTTCCGAGGAAGCAGATGATATTTTGCGACAGTGGCCTGTAATGGACAAAGATGCCTTCACTACTCTGGAGGCAGCCCTGTTCTCTAGACGGGAGGAAGAAGTGCAGTTGGAGGGATCCGGATCCTCCAAGAAAGGGAAATATAAATCCATGGTATGTGATTGTCTCCGTTCTCCCAACTACGTGTTACAAGTAAAAATTCTTCTCATGTTACAGTTGAAGGCCATCATTGCAGAAGAAAAGTTTATTCACAAAAACGTGGAGGGAATGATTCCCAAGTTGTTGAAGGCGATGTTTTCAGTTCAGGTACAACCTCACTTCGTGTTCAGCAGTAAGAGTACTACCAAGAATCCAGATACTATTCGCTTCGAAGTGACTGAATCATACATGGTGGTCAAAGGTAATGGGTATGGGGCTACTTTGATTTTTGAAGATGGATTGCAGTCACTCATTGTTTCTTTTTAATTCCTACATTAATTAGATGTTGTTCTACTAAAACATCCCAGCGCCGACATTCTCACTATAAGAGAGAAAATAAAAACTTGGTGGGATCATAAAAGCGACAGAACTAAGGGGATTGCAAAGAATGATTGAATTTGAACAGATTGTGTGCATGTAGCATTGAATTCCTTGACAACTCAATATTTCCTACACGTGGTGCCTATGACTATTTGACAATCCCTCAAAAATTTTATTGAGCTTATCAAAATGTTATCACCTTATCGAAATTAATAGAATCGTTAATATATTGTAGACTAAATCGTTAAACAATTTGGGATGTAAATAATTAATGAACAATTAATTATTAAATTATTGAGTTTGCAATCAGTGTACAATTAATTCATACAAACCAGTTGATCATCCATCGACCATCATCACGATCATCTTCATGATTATCATTATGGTCATCTGTCGACCATCATTTCGAAAATCTTCATGATTATCGTTATGATCATCCGGAAGTTCATCACAAGATCGTCGTATAGCCCATCATATGATATGAATAATCGGACATTTGGATAATCTGGAGTTCATCATCTTGATCATCTCACACGATAGTCATATGATGAACATATCGTTTGCTGGGAATGTCCCCACGGTTGTTAACTGTCCATCTTATACAACTTCTCCCCTCCCTTCCCTATCCTACAATGTTAATGTCCCCGCGTGCCATCCGCGGCCACTGCATGTACATAAAATCTGGAGTGAAAAACAACACGATCAAATTTCACTTGGGTACAAATTTCGTCGCCAAGTGAAATCCCAACCCCGATCTAAATTCATTTCTTACATCCTGTGCAATGGTCAATTCCATGGTTGCAAAAATTTATTGCAATAATTTTGCTACTCATGCATACATATTTTTTTTTAAATCGAAAATTTAATATGGAAATATGTAAATATTTAACCTTTTCATGAAACTGACCCGACAAAATTTGTGCATGTACATATTTATAGCACCCGTTAAATAAAGTGACGTAATATAATATCCGTCCAGCTACACTCTAAGAAAACTGGTATTAAATCATTACCGACCGGACGATTTACATATGTGACTCTACCGGCCCTGGTATTAACGGAAATTACCCATAAGTAATGTCGTGGTAATGAAAAATTTAGGAAGAAATTTATTACCAATCCGGTAGGAAATTATTACCAAATCAATACCAGCACGGAGTAGATATCTGACTCTACCAGATTTTTTAGAGTGAAATGTGCTGACATGACGCATATTTTAAGATGTATGTTGCCCCACCTAATCTGCAGATTCAGTTAGCCAAGCAAGATGCTAACTTAAATAGGACTTTAACTCTTTACAAAGGCAGAATTTTTGACTCGGAAATTCCACCAGTATTCGCAAAACATTCGAAATTCAATAAACATTTTGAGAAACATTTATAATTTTGAAATTTCCTAGTAAAGGTAAACACAGTTTTCAAATTATTGCTCTAAATTTCCCCTTAAATTGTGTACATATTTAAATATTTAGATCTTACCTCTTATCTCTTAAAATTGCATAATTTTAGGACTTTAACTCTCTACAAAGGCAGAATTCTTTACTCGGAAACCCTAGTGATTCAAAATTCTACACACATTTTGAGAAAAATTTATAATTTTGAAATTTCCTAGTAAAGGTAAATACAGTTTTCAAATTATTGCTTCATCTTCCCCTTAGATTGTGTACATATTTGCATATTATATGTATGTAGGTACAACATTTTTTAGGAGTTAAAGAGGAAATTTTACAGGTTATTTCTTAATAATTGCATAAATTTGAACTTTAACTCTTCACAAAGTCAGAATTTTTGACTCGGAAATTCCTCCAGTGATTCAAAATTCTAAACACATTTTGAGAAAAATTTATAATTTTGAAATTTCCTAGTAAAGTTAAACACAGTTTCCAAATTATTGCTATAAATTTCCCCTTAGATTATGTACATATATACATATTTAGATATGTACATATGTATAACATTTTTTATGACTTAAAAATTGGAAATTTTACACGTTATCTCTTAATAATTGTATAATTTTGTTATGAAATTTTTTCTATGTGGAAATCCGATTTATGTTTTTTAATCCAAGTACATACATATTTCGTACATACTTATGTAAATAATAATGTGAAATTAGTCGTCGCGTACTGCTTAATACGTTGATGCAATTCTAAATATTCGTAACAATTAATTTATCCGATTTTTATTTATATGCAGATTAATAATCCCAGGATATCCGTGGAAATTTGACGTGAGATACCCTTGTGCCAAATCATTTTCATAGGAGAATTGCCATTTATTTGCTACCAGGTAAGATGATATATGCGCAACTTGACTAAACCAGATTCGGTTCGGAGTGAGCTTCAATAATTTTGCGATATGATTCTTACCAGCGGAGGTAATACTACGTAACTCTATACCGCATGGTAACATATTGTCTTCTGAGGGTAAGAAATTGCCTCCGGTGTGGGTAATATTTTTATCGCCATAACGTCTGCATTATGGGGGCTGGGCAGGATTAAGTTTTTATATACCTTTATTTTTACCTATATATATGTATACTACCCTTCGGTGATGAACTATAACCGAAACGGTATTAATACACTTAGAAAACTGCGGTATTAAACCGGAGTACATATTATGTGACTCTACCGGCACTAGTATTAACGGGAATTACAGTAATGTTGTGGTAATAAACAATTTACCACTTAGGAACAATTTACCAATAATCCGGTAGGAAATTATTACCAAATCAATACCAGCACGGAGTAGATATCTGACTCTGCCAGATTTTTAATAGTGTAGTACCTCCGCTGGTAGCAATCTTATAAAAAATATTTTTAGTGCTAGAGGGGGCTGGGCAGGATTAAGTCTTTATACATATATGTACATATACTACGCTTCGGTGATGAATTATAACCGAAGCGGTAGAATTGCATAGTACCTCAGTCGGTAACAATCTTAATTGAGATTGTCTTCCTCTGAAATTTAATATATGTATTTACAGTTTCTACGCCAGACCAACTGCAATATTTCCATGTTACAAACTAACTCAAAATCTGCTACATATGTAGGTCAGTTATTATTATTTATTCTGAGTTGATTTGTCTATTTATCAAAATTCATTTGCATTTATATATTAATACATAAGTTAAAATTTAACTAAATAATAGTCACATTTTGTAGTACAATTAAACTACATATATTTATTAAGGGGTGAAGCGAAGCGAAATCCATATATGAAAATAACTTTTCTGTCTGTCTGTCTGTCCGTATACGATAACTTTAGAACGGATTCGAATTTGGATATGCAGTTTTCGCCAACATGTTTCTAATTTTTGAAGTACGGATGACTTTGAAGCGAGCGCTGTAGGTCATTAGGTCACGGCGCCACGGGGATGAAACCAACGGTCAAACGTGTCGAATATTTTGTTTCAACGGTTTTAGACGTAATTTTGCGTGGAAATGTCAGAAATCGGTATTGTTTTGACGTACAATGACCGTGTCGCTTCACTCCTTTGCTACATTTCTTTTGCTACGGGTTATTATTATTTATATTGAATTGATTTATCTACTAAAATTCATTTGCATTTATATACATAATTTAAAAATTGACTAAATAATCGTTAAAATTTGAAGTAAGTACAATTGAGCTACATATTTCTTTTATAATCAGGGTAACGCTTTCCACCCACATGATGCTGGGCTTACGCAGTGACCACAAGTGACGTCTCAACTATCCGGCGAAGCCATCCCCAAAGGAAAAGTCGATCAATCAAGTACATCATGACTGAGTTATCGTGGCATCGTTCCCATGCAGTTAATGTGAATTTTAAATACAACAAAATTTCCTACAAAATTTCGAATTAAAAAAATTCTATTGTTTAGGGATTTCGACAATTACTCTTCCCTGGGCTGGAAGATCGCCGACTTACTTCGGAAAAAGCAAATACAGAAAAAAGCTAAGACTAAGCACTCTGCAAATTTCATGTATTGATTAAACTTTAGAAAACGTTCTTTAGAACCAATGTGTAGATTTTTATGTTGAAGAGTAGTTAATATTTATATAGATACGTTCAGTGGCGGCGGAAGTTGGGGGGACATGTGGGGACTTTAGCATTGTGATAGGATGGGGAGGGGCTTGTTAACATGGGGGAGATAGGATTTTACTGAATTTCTGGAGGGACAATGTCCCCCGCTTCCGCCGCCACTGGAAACGTTAGAGATGCATGTTAATTTGTTTCAAATGCACATGTGAGTTGATTTACACTCTTAGAAATAGGGTTACGATTATAACCAAAAAGTAAACGTTTGACTCTACAGCCGTGGTTAAGAATTTGTCCCTAATTCATTATAAATTTATTAACTCCTTCACAATTGAACACCAAGTCGGTGAAACTTCATAATTACGCGATGACAAATTTATAACCACGGCAGTAGAGTCACATATTTACATACGTTTGCTCTTTGGTTATAATCGTAACCTCATTTCTAAGAGTGTACTGCAAAAGGGTGCGAATGTTTAGTACATAATTCAATATCGGTTTACTGTAAAAGCCATATTCTGCATATCATCTACACATATCTCAAATTTAAATGCATGTGTCAAGCATGTGACACTAAAGACGTTGACGCGTAAAATGTCAATCGCCTAGGAGGCCATGCATATTCTTCATCATGCAGGCACAGACTTCCGAAAGCTTTTGTAGTCCTTGTACCACCCGACACGTAGTTTACGGGTTTAATATGAAGAAAATTATTTCTGAGCTTTTAAAAGAATTTTTAAATAGTTAAAAGCTCTTGGTGTACAAAAGTTCATCAAAGATGCAGACATGCGACTTGTATAAAATGCCGTCTTGGTCAAAGTATTGAACTACAAAAGGGTACACTGTAGCCAATGATTCACCCACTGATAATGCATAATCAGACGAGATTAGTCATAAAATGTGCAATAATTTAGAAATGAAAGACTAAGTTTCAATTGGTGAATAAACACTGAGGCGCAGATTGGATTGTCATTGCAAAGCAACGTTTTTTGACGTCCATTTGTGAAAAGTTATAAGTTTATCGAACAAGCAAATTCAAAATAGTTTGCACACCTTGAAATACATCTTTAAATTAAATATCCCGTCTTGAAGTTGACTTTTTTCAAAACTTTAGCAACCCTAAATATAAAACTAAACTATTGGTCAGAGACTTCCAACACCTAGATGGTCCTTCTAATTACCTCCATAGAGTTCTTGGTGTTCATAAAAACATTTGGGTTTCGAACATAGGATCGATCCACTCGAATTCCTCTGACGTGCCTCGTTTCCTTTCATTCTTACTGGTGTAATGCTCTCGGGTTCTGTCTCGATAGTGGTTGAAAGGTCTTTCCGCATATTTTGGATAGGTTGGAAATTATGGTTATTATACAGCAATCTCTGGTTCTCTCTGCGATAAATGGGGTCGTAGGCTCCCCCCCCCCCCCCGAGCGAAAGCATATTCGATGGAGAGATTCATATGTGCGACACCCTCATAATTTAATGTTGATATCGTGCTGGTGGCCATACCGTTCTCACAACAGATTAAAATTGGCTCTACTTAATATTTCTTTATTTTAGTTGACCAATGATAAATGACTAGTTGACAAATTGGAGTTATACAAATATTTTACGTTACCATTTAAACGTATGCGAATATAATAAATGAAGTTTTTACGATACAATTGTACGGTAACTGTTACAGATTCCGGGTTTTGTAAACAACCCGAAATTTGTTAATAATTCTGAATTTTGTTAATAAAGCGTAGCTTTGTGTTATGTAGAAAATAAAGTTTAAGAATTGCGTGGCAAAGAAAGCGGATCGTTTAATGGGAAGCCAAAACTGGTAATTATCAACTACGCGGAGGCGCTGGAAATTATCAGGCTTCCCGAGTTGGGGTAAATTAAGTTGGGAATCGGGGGTAATTAAGACAATGACTTTCTGGCAGGTGGAATGCATACCGGCAATATTTTTGATAAATTTCGACATTTCGCTTCGTTCCTCTAACAATGCGAGTGATTGAGCGGGAAGTTTAATTCGTCTTTTCGTAGTAAAGAAGGTGCAGTATTAGGGATGAATGTTTAAAATGATTTGGAACAACTTTAGCCGCTAAAAATGAAAGGTCGCCAATATTAGCTGTGGTTTATGCGTAAAGGTGGTTTGATTCTTCTGATTAAGATCAGCTTCCAAGTCCAAATTTGTCTTTTCAAAACGAACCCATTTACTTGTATCAGTTCCAGTTTGTAATTTTAAATTGGTTCTAAATCTGTTGTTTTTCTGAATCCGATTGAACTAAAATACAATCATTATTGTCGGACACGGGAGATGTCGAACCAGGGGTTTTTGGGAGTCGAGTTTTTTATCGTCTCCTGCACAACGTGTGCGAATCTCATGTGATACGGCTCTTTATGCTGTTGCGACCTCTAACGATACGAATTTACCTACTAGGTAAACCTCCATTGACCTCTTATGGGACAATTTTGACTCTTTCTTCTTCTTCGATTTCTGTTGGCTGGCAAGCAGAAGCGCCCTATCGAATAAGGTTGCGCATGTTTGACGACAAATTCCTGTCTGATTTTTTTCTGGTGTGAACAGACTGCTTCAGATCTTTGAAGTAAGTTTCAACCTTTGTTCCTGTGATTGTCTCTGGTGGAATACTCTCGTGCAATGAGAATTCAACTGCAATGAGGATTATACGTAGAGGATTATACGCTTTTTTAACCTACATTTTAGTAGGAGTGCAGGTGCCAATTTGGCATTTATTACAACGAATTTAGCAGTATATATATGGTTTTACCTGGAATTAGTTGATCCTTCCAGGCTTGTTCTTGCATATGGTTACGACAGGTGTGATTTTTCTCCTACTGTTAAATACAAATAATTTTTAATTTGCACCAAGCACGAAAGATCGACAGATTTTTAACTTTTAATCCATTCCACTTGGCACTCCACAGCGATTCATTTCTTTTACCTTTACCCATCTTTGCATTAGTCCTGTTACACATATCAAATATACTTTTTTCATAATTAGGATTTTGAACAAATCTGTAACATTCTATCACAATCTGTATAATTTTTATATCCATGATAAATGGTACTACCACAAATTTAATGAGTATATTCTGAGTTGATGTTAAAATAACATTATGATCGGCAGCAATCATTTTTATAACTAATGAGGATAATTTATGATTCACATTTGTATCCTTTTCTAACCGGCCTGGCAATTAACTATGAACTGGGTAATTTTTGAAAATAAGGAAAAATAAGGTAATATGTATCACGATGTAAATAACTATCAGGTCGAAATTACTATTTATGTTTGGGAGCATTTCCGGTTCCTGAATTATTTTCGGGACCCAAAATATGGGACATTATCGAATTCAATAATTTTGTAGATAATACAGTCTATAATCATTCATTCTTTTTGGAAATATCCATCCTAAGTCAGACTGATTGTCACTTGCCACGCTATCATACTTGTATTATGTATGTATGCTTGTATAAGTTTTATTACTGAATTTTTTTGGGCACAACGCCCATGATAAAGTTGCATGATAAAAAGTTTATATAACCAGGTTCCTGTTTTATCGGATCTGATTTTCTTTAATAATTCCAACAGCAGCATTGAAATCAAGAACACATTTATGTCACGCAGAACTTAAAGTAACCGATACCTTTACAAGGTTTATTTTAAAATGCATTTGACAAATCATAACAAATGTTCCAGGTAAGTCGGGATGGTTCCCGAACTGCTTCCCAAGGTAGACATTATCACACCATATACACACATTTAGTTTATCGTCAATTACTAGTTACGTAATCCGAGAATTTTATTAATTTTCTTGTAGAAATCAGCGATTCATTTCTTTTACCGTTTAACCATATTTTCATTACTTTCCTTTTGCACACGTCTAATATAAATGTTTGTCATGATATTAGCATGGCGGATTTTGAAAGAATATGTAACATTGTGTCTAAATCTTAACCTAAAAATCGTCATTTAATATGGTATGGAAAATACGTTTACCTTTTGGCTGTGTCATCCTCTTTTTTTACCAACTGTGAGTAAATTTTTCTTATTTTTATTTAAAGTGATAGATTTCAAACATAAATCTGCTTACCGTCCTCCTCCTCCTAGTACAAAATGGGGCCCTCCATGTCCATTGGTAAATTTTGAATTATAGAAATCAGAAGAAATTCTAGCTCCGCTTCCAGTGGCGAATGAACTACTTTGATTGGTGAATGATCGTCTTCGATTACCGCCATTTCTTCTAAATTTCGTAATTAGGTCTAAAATATTTTAGTTATCTTCTCGTCGTCTTGTCCAGAGCAATTCTGGAGTCAAAAACATGCAAAGGATACTTTGGATTAGGGAATTTTCATGAAATGCAATAAACGTTCATGAACAAGATAAGTGTGCGGTTTAAAAACCCTAATGGTTAAGGTTGTTAAACATATGACACCATAATTTATTTTTCGGCATATTTAGTGCACAAAATATAATTTTGGGATACGGTGAAAAATCGATACAACTCGGTTTTCATAGAAGGGTCCGATTCTGAATCCATTATTTCATTGTTCTATATTTAAGTCTAAATAGTTTTTTTACCACGAAATATGTACAAAATAATTCTATTTTCGAAAAGCCTTAAATATTTTATTTACTGATAAATATTATTATCGTTGGGAGGCGTGGAGGCAAAAATATTTATCGGTGCAGTTTGATTAAATGGGAAAGTCGACGACATAACCGGGCTGATTATTTCATATTTGAGCTTACTTGAAAGTATCTTTTTTAAACACGAAATATATTGTTCAAATATCTATTTCATATTTGAACTTACTTGAAATTCAGACTTCGACTTTTCATCGTGGCACCTTAAAATTAGCTTTTTCAATCCGCGTCGTTCCATTCCATGATGAACACTTGTGAGCACAATAATCTTGACCTTGCAAGTTGCACTCCTACTAAAATGTTGGCTTACAAAGCACGTATAATTCTTTATGTAGTTGAACTTCATTGCACGAGATTATTCCACCAGAGAGAAGTGTTACCTATTTGTTCAAAATCCGCTATGCTGATTATTACAAGTATTTATATTGTTCCATCAGAAATAATCACAACAACAAAGGTTGAATCTTACTTCAAATATCTGAAACAGTCTTTCCACACCAGACAAAATTCAGACCGGAATTTTGCGTCAAATACGCAGAATTTGTAATACATTTAGTCGATAAGACGCTTCATCTTACTAGCCAATAGAACTAAGGAGGGGAGCTTCACATTGTTGACTCACCGATTGCCTCCAAATTTTTACACAATTTATTACCATGTGAGAGAAGTGTACATGTCGCGCCTTTTGACTCCATGGCCACAAACCCCTTCGTTATGTCGATTTGAAATCTTCATTTTGCCCTATTTTACGGTCTAAACTTTTATGTATGCCGATTCTTATGGTTTCAATTTTTTTAAATTCTGTTTTCGCCGATTTTCTAGATATATTATAGTCGTTGTTGGGCATATCATGTGACCCCCATGTGACCCTTATACAGGGGGTGTGGTTAACCACACCCTCATTTTTAACTCTAATATACTCGATATGGGTATCATTTAAAAGCTATTGGCAACAACTTTTCAATGATATATAACATAATAGGTCTGTGACCCTCCCCCTGACCTTGGGGTGGGGGTAAAGCAAAGGTCAAGTACTATGCATTTTTGCGACAAATCATTGTTTTTGATATCTGAAATGATCCATTATTACTTGTAAATCATTCCTGTGGGAGTGGCCCCCATGGGAGGGAGTGACCATTTTTGGCATAAATAAGATGCAACTTTTGTTTTTTAAAGTAATCTTGATGATACAATTTTATCACACCCAAGCCGAAGGCTTTTATTCATTAACTAAATGGCTAAGAGTTTTCAAAATTTGTAGCAAATTATTTTGTATTACCAATTATTTAAATTAAACAAACCTGTAAATCACCAACAAGTACATAAAAAATGAAAGATACTCAATGTTCCGCAAAATATTTGTATTTTTAGAAACGAAGCATCAAATTGCTTCAATTTTTTAGTATTGGTTTGCTGATAAGAATTTGTTAGTGAGGGTATTCACGCGTGCTTTACAATAAAAAAAGTAAAAAAAAATAGTAAAAATAGTAATAGTAAAATAGTAAAAAAATAAATTCGCAAAATTTTTGGTTTCAAATGGGTTTGCAAACTTGAGCATCTCAAGGACAAGTTATTGAAGAGCAAAACAGTTCGCAAAAATTAAATTATTTTATGTTGCGATGCGAACTTGCCAAGTACGCCGGAGTACACTCCGTATTATTTTAACAAATTATGGTTTGAAACAAATTTTGAAAGGTTTTAGGATTATGTACGCTGATAGTTCAATTTCATGGAATACACAGTGTTAGTAAAACGAAAAAACTCGAAACGCACTGTGTCTCTTTCAAATACTGTCTTGGAAGTGTGATGATTAGCAATTTTAGACTATGTGTTATTCGGCGGATATATCCAAAGCTATGTTATACAAATTTCAAAATATCATAATCTTTAAAATCCATTCTTAAATTTAGATTTAATTTAAATATGTACTTGAATAAAATATGGGCTAATAAATTAATCCGATTAGATCTCCACCTTATCACTATGGTTGAAATTTTAAAAGAAGAAACCTTTACTATCCTAGCTTTGCTGAAAGGTGAATTGGCCGATGTGCCAAAACTCGTTATGGAAAAATTTCAAAACCGTGCCAATTATTCAGTTTTCAACCGATTTTCGAATTTCCGAATGTTTCGGAAACCTCTGGCCGTGGGGCAAATTATATATTCCCAAATTTTGAAAATTTTGATTCCTGGATTGGAATGCCCTTGTCCGTGCGTCAAAAATGATATGCTATACGACATAGTTTCTCCATCACAGGCCAAAGTGCCGGAAGCCACACCCACTGGGAGGTGTGGTTTTTGAAAACTTGATACTTTATCCTAGGTGCCCTTGGTTTTCTGATCAACATGATGTGTTGCATGACATACTTACTCAAACTCATGCGAAAATCGCTGATAACCACACCCACTGGGGGTGTGGTTTTTAAATTATGTGCAATCTATAAGGTCAACGGTCATTTCGACAAAAAATGACAAGTGTGCAGATAAGAATAATTTGTTGGCGTTGCCTGAAATTATAAAAATATTCGGCCTATTTTTCTGACCTCCTGACCTTGATTACAGTGGGTGGGGTCAAAATTTTCAAAATTTGGTAATATTTGCCCCACGGCCAGAGGTTTCCGAAACATTCGGAAATTCGAAAATCGGTTGAAAACTGAATAATTGGCACGGTTTTAAAGTTTTTCCATAACGAGTTTTGGCACATCGGCCAATTCACATTTCAGCAAGAATTAGTTTCTTCTTTTAAAATTTTCACCATAATTAATAAAGAACTTGAATAGGTTCCTCGAATAATTGAGCAAGAACAAATGTCATATTTCCCAACCGTGCGTGGCAACCTCTAGTTTAAACTTTAATAATTCTCAGAATGCTGTTATGTTCAATGTTCGTACAAATTATTTTGCTGGGTTTAAAAATTTCTTGTTGATTTGACATTTTACATTTATAAAAGATGGCAAGTACTGAAGGTAAATTGAAATATTTGCATTAGTAAATATATAAATTTATAAAATTCGTCATTGATATTTAGGACAAGGGGTTGAAGATAAAATTCCTAATCCCTACGGAATTTTGTTACAATTCACCAAAATAGTTGGAGAACACTATCCAAATTATCCAAAGGTATACCACCAAGAAAAGATAAATGTTAATATATACATTGTATCATTTATACAGGACCTGGCCCCCACGGAGAAAGAAATTTTATTCGCAGAAAAAATGTTTGACTCTTTCTTACAAAATCTGCAGGAATTTGTTGTGGAAGAAGATGAATGTTTGACTTTAGACGGTAATATTTTATTCTTGTTATACATATTCAAATTCAATATTTAAACCATGGTTTAGTTTTACTGATTTCTTTGTACATATTTAATTAATTAAAAAAAATATATTTTGTTTATTCACCGCAGAAACGACATTTGCATGTGACCACCTGTCTGACGGTGATGAATACGACCAAAATGAACAACCCTCCGAAGATGATGACTGCGACCAAAATAATGAGCAAGATGAACAACTCTCCGACAATGAATCTGACGAAGATAACGACCAAAACGAGCAGACTGATGACGATTACCTCGTTGAAACTCCAGCCAAAAAGAGTAAATATAAATTTGTCCCCTTTGATCGAAAACAGGAAATACTTGCTCTTTGGGAATCTCATCCAAAATGGTCCGTAACGTCTTTAAAAAAACATGGAGCAAAAGAAGTTCGGAACAAGCAAACTTTATACCTTTGGAAACGTCAAGTGAAAGAAAAACAGGACAAGAAAGAAAAATATGCAAGAATTAGTCAACATGTTTTTAACGAAATGACGGAAGCCCGAAAGTCTTTCAAAATTATTCGTGCGTCTCATTTAAGGTATTGGGCTATGCAAAAGTACATTGAAATTGGCGACGACAACTTGAAATTTAAAGTATCGAAAAGCTGGTTAGATAGATTCAAAATAAAACATGGAATTTCGAGTAGGAAAATTAACACCTTAGTTAGCAAAAGGGAAATAAAATCAGAACAAGAAATCTTAAACTCTGCAAAAAAATTTCAGGAAGGAATTAGAAATATTTCAAGTCGTTTTGATCCTGATCACATTTTCAATACGGATCAGTGCGGCTTTTCTTACGAAATAACTTCGCAACGAACCCTTACTAAAAAAGGTGAAAAAAATGTAATGGGGTATGCGCAGTCGCCGAAGAATTTATCTACTCATTCATATACAGTGCAGTATTTAATTAACCTTGCAGGAGAAGTAGTTGGTAATGTATTCATTTGTCTGCAGGAAGCTCAGGGCAAATTAGGTCCTAGTGTTAAGAAAGAAGTTGAGTCATATTTACCAAGTAATGTCACTTTAACATGTAGTACTTCTGGTAAATTGTCAACATCTTTGAATGAATATTTCATACAAAAACAGCTACTACCTTTCGTCACCAAAGACTTTCTCTATATAATAGATAGCTGGGCAGGGCAGACAAATTTTGAATCCTATTCCAAATATTTCGGAGAACAGAATGAGAAACCTAACATAACACTAAAAATAATACCGGAAAAATGCACACCTCTGGCCCAACCTTTAGACACAACATTTCATAGACAACTTAAAATTCTAGCACGTGAAATTCTAGCTGGATTGGAAGTATTTGTTAACTCGGAAGGTGTGAACCAGGATGATAATTGGACTACTCGCAAAGGAATAATTAAATTACAATCATTACTACATTTTATGATATCGGCCCCAATTTTCAAACCCATGTTACAATATGCCTGGTACTCTAGTGGCTTGACTGACGTGAAAGTAGATTTCTTAAATATGAAACAGGTATGTTTCAGCTTCACTGAAGACGAAGGAAAATTATGCGAATCTCCTGGGTGTGACAAACCTAGATTTATCAAGTGTGCTCGATGTAGGAAACGGTTGTGCATTTTTGATCTGTGGGTAACAAATCACTTTTATTTCTGTGAATGTTCACCCTTCAAAGAATAAATGTCATAATTGTATACTACTTAAAAATACCTTATCAGTAGACTACTTTAGTTTGAGGGTAAGTTATAGCGTCAATGTATTTGTATTGGTAATGAAACCTGTCAAAATAAAATTCAATAAATTTTGCATTTATGTATATATTTTGGACAAAAGTTGACTGGCTTATATTTCACTAAAAACATAAAAACATTGGAAACCCCCAGAAAAATAACATATGTACATTTAAAATAATTCCGTGCTAATTTAGCGCAGTTCAGGGTGTAAATATTTATGAATTCCCGGTCGTGGTGTAAATCATTATCACCGCATGGTGGCAAATGTTTACCGCATCACGATAAACTGAAACCAAAACAGTGAAAAATTCACACCAGAATATTGAAAAAATTCACAAAAATAGTGACCAATTTACACCAAATTGACACCACGAAATTTGTACCTGCGTGACTACGCCGGGATATTTACGGTGAAATAATAAGATGTCTCGTGTGTTGTTGTTAGATTAATGTTGTTAGGATTTTATTGAGTATCTTTCATTTTTTATGTACTTGTTGATGATTTACAGGTTTGTTTAATTTAAATAAACCGTTGTAACGTTAGAAGTAGCTCACCCTGTAATCCAAATTTTGACAATATTTTGCACCAATGGTGCCGCATATGCGGATACAATTGATACGCAATTTTGGCATAATTTTGCATTAATGGTGCAGAATAAGCGGACAAAAGATGCACATCGTGACAAATTAGAAGTAAAAATTCTAGTTATTTTTTTCGGGCCTTATGCACGTTTGGTGTGTTTTGCATCTATGTTCTCAATTGTTTGGCACTATTTTGTGTTACCGACTGATCGAGACCAATGGTACTACTAATTTGCTAAAATTTGCACATGGGGCAAATTAATTAGCATCAATTGATGCAAAAACTTCGCGAACAGACAGACAGACAGACGGACAGACGGACAAGAGGAATTCAATAGCTCCTCTGGTACGCAGGGTGAGCTAATAATGGATCATTTCAGATATCAAAAACAATGATTTGTCGCAAAAATGCATAGTACTTGACCTTTGCTTTACCCCCACCCCAAGGTCAGGGGGAGGGTCACAGACCTATTATGTTATATATCATTGAAAAGTTGTTGCCAATAGCTTTTAAATGATACCCATATCGAGTATATTAGAGTTAAAAATGAGGGTGTGGTTAACCACACCCCCTGTATAAGGGTCACATGGGGGTCACATGATATGCCCAACAACGACTATAATATATCTAGAAAATCGGCGAAAACAGAATTTAAAAAAATTGAAACCATAAGAATCGGCATACATAAAAGTTTAGACCGTAAAATAGGGCAAAATGAAGATTTCAAATCGACATAACGAAGGGGTTTGTGGCCATGGAGTCAAAAGGCGCGACATGTACACTTCTCTCACATGGTAATAAATTGTGTAAAAATTTGGAGGCAATCGGTGAGTCAACAATGTGAAGCTCCCCTCCTTAGTTCTATTGGCTAGTAAGATGAAGCGTCTTATCGACTAAATGTATTACAAATTCTGCGTATTTGACGCAAAATTCCGGTCTGAATTTTGTCTGGTGTGGAAAGACTGTTTCAGATATTTGAAGTAAGATTCAACCTTTGTTGTTGTGATTATTTCTGATGGAACAATATAAATACTTGTAATAATCAGCATAGCGGATTTTGAACAAATAGGTAACACTTCTCTCTGGAATAATCTCGTGCAATGAAGTTCAACTACATAAAGAATTATACGTGCTTTGTAAGCCAACATTTTAGTAGGAGTGCAACTTGCAAGGTCAGTCAACAGGTGCCAATTTGGCATTTATTATAACCAATTTAGCAAAATTTATATGGTTTAACTTAGGAATTAGTTGATCCTTCCAGGCTTGCTCTTGCATTTGATTACGACATGTGTGATTCTTTACGTCTACTATTAAATACAAATAATTTTTAATTTACACTAACTATGATTCTAACTATTCCTTGTAAGCTCAAAAAATCGACAGATTTTTAACTTTTGGTCCATACCACTGGGCATTTCACATCAATTCATTTCTTTTACCTTTACCCTTCTTTGCATTAGTCCTTTTGCACATATCAAATATAATTTTTTTCATAATTAGGATGGCGGATTTTGAACAAATATGTAACATTGTTTCAAAATCTCTATAATTTTTGTACCCATGATTAATGGTACTACTACACATTTAGTGAGTATATTTTGAGTTGATTATTGATATTTTGAGTTACAATTTAACATTATGATCGGCAGCAATAATTTTTTCTTACAGCTGAAGAGTATAATTTGTAATATACATTTATAAACCTTTTCTAACCGGCCTGGCAATTATGAACGGTATAATTTTGGAAATAGGGAAAAAATATGGTAATATTTACCACGATGTAAATAACTGTGTGGTGAAAATTATTTTGATTAATTGGTTTTGGGAGCATTTCCTTTTGAGACATCAGTCTTCATAGCCTACCCAAGTTTGACAATGGAACCTTTTTTCAAGCTACACCGGGATCTACTAGCTAGTTATGTCAGATAATCAAGCCAAAAATTAGAAATCACGTGACACTTCTCTTTCCGTTGAACGGCCCCTTTCAAGAAAAATATTGGGGGTCAAAATTCGCACTCCTCCCGTGGAGGAAAAAGCAAGAGAAAAATTGCTCAAAAATTGAAATTTGTGGCCAATATTTTTCTTAAAAGGGGTCATTCAACGGAAAGATAAGTGTCACATGACTCCTAATTTTTAGCTTGATTTTTTACGTAACTCGCTACTCGATCCCGGCGTTGCATGAAGTAAGGTTCCATTGTGAGAGAGATCTCACCTTCCTAACCACCAAGGCAGAAACTGGGAACATTTCCAAGGTGCTGTGAACGAGTGGGGGGAGGGGGGGATTGAACTAGATTGAATTCTTTGCTCTCAAGGACTGGGACCTTGCCCCCGCAATGTGAAAATGGAAAAGTATGCAATTATACAAATATTTACATAAATATGCGAATTTTACTCGAAAACAATCAAATTTTTGATAAAAATGACGTGTGTACATAATTCTGATGCCTAATTATTTATTATTTTTTCCAGTTTAAGAACCATCAAGGACGTTCTTCGTGAGAGGAATCTCCAATGTCCCTCAGTCTCAAAGGATCCCTTGCGCCACAATATTCCCTCAGGTATAAAAAAATATATCATTTCGATCGGAAACGAGGCCTTTAATTGCGCAAATACATACATAAATATGCTAATTTTACTCGAAAATAATCTAATTTTTGAGGAAAATGACGTAATAGTATGTAATTCTGATTGTCAATTATTTTTTTCAGTTTCGGTCAAACTGTTGGAAAGAGGAATCTCCAACGCCCCTCAGTCTCAGTGAGTCACGTGCGACACCATATTTCCTCAAGTATATCAAAATATATCATTTCGATCGCAAACGAGGCCTTAAATCACACAAATACATACATAAATATGCGAATTTTACTCGAAAATAATCAAAGTCTTGCTAAAAATGACCCATGTAACTTTGATCTCTAATTGTTTTTTTTAGTTTGAGAACGGACAAGTTGTTTGTGAACGGAATCTCCAATGTCTCACAGTCTCAGAGGATCATTTACACCACGGTGTTTCCTTAAGTATATAAAAAAATATATCATTTCTATCGGAGCCGAGTCCTTAAATTAAATAATTCAAGTCTTCATTTTCTTCAAGGTGACCACGGTCCAGATTTATTTATTGACGTCTACCACGCCAAAATTTGAGAGAAAAAGGTGCCCTCCAGCGCTTCATGATTCGCTTTCCGCTCAAACAGTGGCCGCGGAAGGGTGTGGACATATGGACAATGTCCCCACGATTATTCGATGCCCATATCATTTTATATAAATAACTCCCTCCCCTATCTATATTATAGTATTAATGTCCCCACATGTCTGCATGGCTTCCGCGGCCACTGCGTCGTCCAAAACCACCAATGGTGATCCACCATACTTCTTCACTACCGCACCGAACTTCCAGTGATCAAAGACGGGTTTTTCGAATCCTTGGAAGACGCCCTTGATGTGAGTGAATGTCCAAAATTATGAGTTTTTTATCCCAAAAAAGAAGTACGTACATATTTACGAAAGAAAACGTACAGATATTATTTTTGCAAAATCATTCAAGTTTTAATCAAATTTTTTATCATATTTATTTCGTCTAAAATCGTTGAAATCTTGGCAAAATTTATTTTTACAAATGTGGCTAAAATACATATGCACACAAAGTTTATAACTAGACATATGAAAAAATGTAGTCAACAAATCACATCAAAATCTCCACAAAGTGTGACCATTATTCCTCATCAAGTTCAAAAGGACTCAAGTAATTGTAAGTACTTGGCTTAAATAATTAATTGTAAGTATTTTTTTAGCACCTCAAAGCAAACGCTGCCTTCTTCAACCCCACGGACTGTTTCGTAATGAAAACGTCACAAACCTGCATATCCTCAACGTGCAAATGATCCCATATACCCGACTAGAAACCTCTCACAAATTTTCCAAACGTATTTCCAAAAGTGAAGGAGTTGAAGATTTCTGTGACTCACAAAGACTCGTACTTCCACCAGTGAGTACTTACCATTGGGGAAAAACTCTTGTGAAAATACAGTATTTTGAGCTTGGTTCTTCCCGGGACTAGAATTTCCGGGGCTAGGACGGCCAGCAGTGTTTCCGGTGCAAAAAGTAACCACGTGCAAGAAATAACTGGGAGAAAGTGGTTTCTTGCAGGTATTTATTTTGACCAGCAAGCAATGCGAGAAACTACGCCCCACCGCGATTCCGTACGGTGCGTGGCTTGATGCCGCATATTTCTTGCACTTTCTCCCAGTTTCTTGCACCTCGCATTTCTTGCCTTGCTTATGTACTTGCGCTGCAAGAAATGTGGCAAACCCGCCTAAAACGAAACACTGACAGCCACGAAAAGACAATGATCTTCATGAAGAATGCAATAGTCATGCGAAAATACGTGTTTTATGAAGTCTTTCTCGCGTCAAAATACATACGTTATTTTTACAAACGCGTGAAAAAACGTATTTCGAAAGTGATAAAATCCTAATTTCTTCACAAAATATGTACGCATTTTCATATGACTGCTGCAGATTTTCGTCTATTTATGATTGTCGTTATAAATAGCTCAAAATATGGTATTTTCACCAAGTTTTTTTTGCCTACTCCTGTTACTTACACATTTTTGTTAAAATTTAAAATTTTCGTCATAATTTCATCTTTTTTATTATGTAGGAATGCCATCCATCAGGTTCAGAGTGGACGACCTATTCCTTCCCCATTGTGAAAAAGTAGAAGGACGATTTAAAAGATATTTTTTTAGGGTATTTTCGATGTCAACCTTTGGAATTGCCCAGGTTTTCAGAAAGACTAAATTCATGACATCATTCAAAATTTTATTCATAATTTTGATTTTGACGAACAATTTTATTTTTTCTCAGAAACCCAAAATTTTACCCTTTACCTGCTCGCACATCTGCCAAACAACGTGCACAAATCGACAATGGAAGCAGTCATTCAAATTGATTAATTAGGTTATTATTTTGTATTTTTTTTTAAATTTTGACAAATATACTTCCCTTGATTTGGAAATTATTTTATTACAGAATCTCCTTTTGGAGAGCGTGGCCCCCTTTTTGCAAAACTTAACGCTGGAGAAGCAAATCTTTGACGGGTTGTCGTATTTAGACTGTGGGGAAGAATCTCAAAATTAAATTATAATAATTGACCACAATTTGGCTAAAATTTTGTATTTATATCAAAATTCACTCAATCTCAAAAATAATCAGTTTTCCCTTCGAATCAATTCTCATTAAAAGTCTGAAGCTAATTAATAAAATCCGCGATTTAAATGTATAATTTTTGTCTGAAAATTCCTTCGCTTAAAAAAAAATTGGAAATTAATTGCACTCGTGCATCATCCAATTACCTCATCAATTTTGCTTGATTCTACAAAGACTTCGCATTCCTGCAAATTCAAATTCGAGTCTAATATTATTAAAATGTTTGCGCAAAAGTATAACATTGGGTTTAATGCCTTATCACTAACAACGTAAAAATCCGCACATTTTTAATCATTTCTCCTCTCTGGGAATTTATGTTAAAATTCTGAATCACAAATTTACTCTCAGTGGGTTGATTGATGGAATGGTGTTAATTTTTTTAAGCCAGTTTCGACGATTTCCAATTTTTCTGAAGGCTTCTAAACCTTCAAATCTTCAAAAAAGCGTCAAAATCTGGAGAGTAAATATATTTTCAAAAAATTGGGAATTACCTTCTCTACAAAATCATCGTCCAGAATTTTAAAATAAATTCCCAGAGGAGAGAAATGATTACAAATGTGCCGATTTTGGTGATGGAATTCTACATTAATCGCACGAATCTCCTCGCATACCGTGAAAACATAATATTTCAAAATGGGAATGATAAAGCATATTTTCTTTCGGGACATAATTTCTCTACAATTTTCATGAATTTTGAAATAGTTCATAAAAATGTTCAAATTCAAATTTATTACAAGATTTAGCTGTACATAAACTTTAGCTGTGAACTAATGCCATAAAATTTACACGTGTAATTATTTTTATTCAAAAGTTATCCCTAAAATACAAACAATATCAGTAGCCGCGGAAGCTGTGGGAACATTAATATTTTGGGAAAGGGGTGAAACAGGCTTGCATAATGTTGACAGGTGATGGGGCATCGACCCACCGTGGGGACATTGTCCGCACCTCTCCTAATTGGCAATTCAATAAGTGTGCATATCTATCATATAAGTGTGCATTCATATCTATTGCATAAACACCATTTAACATACCTGAACTTTTTACATAATTAAATTTCACATACAATAATGGTGTTATGCAAAAGAAATTATGCAATTTCACCGGGGACGGTCCGCACCCTTCCGCGGACACTGGTCCATATATGTATTTAAATACATACACGCATAATAAGTTGAGGAAAATCGCCTTAAATCGTAATCATGTAAAGCTACTTTCATACCGTGTAAAACCACGCAGTATGTAAGTATCTGTTCATTCACATAGGGTAGCAAGTGGCCGCGGACAGAGGGGAAATGTCCCCACGGTTATGCGATATCTCCATCGTCCTCCCCTCCCCTACAATGCTAACGTCCCCACACCTTCCGCGGCCACTGTACGTACATAAAATCTTACGTGCAAAACAACTAGATCAAATTTCACTTTGGTATTTCATCAACCACGCGAAATCCCAAGCCAGATCTAAATATATAAATTCGTTTCCTTCTTCCATCAAGGTTTGCAAAAATTGATTGCAATAATTTTTCTACGCATGGATATTTAAAAAATCGAAAATTTAATATTCAAATAAATATTTAATTATTCTACCAAACTGTCCCGACAAAATTTGTGTATGTGCATATTTAGGAGGACCCATATTTAAAGTGACGTAATATCCTCTCCCAGCTACGACTGACAATGGAGGTCTCATAACGTATGCTCACAGATTTGGACCAAATTAGTGTCAATCGATCACAAATATAATTAGTATGAAATTTGCAAATGGAACTATCTGCCAATGCGCAGGTTTGGCGGAGATATTTGCATAAAAAGAGGAGAAAACGCACCAAAAGGCTGGCATATTTTTCATTTGCCAAATTTCCTGTGCATTTTTCCTCTTTTTATGCAAATATCTCCACCAAACCTGCGCATTGGCAGATAGTTCCATTTGCAAATTTCATACTAATTATATTTGTGATCGATTGACTCTAATTTGGTCCAAATCTGTGAGCATACGTTATGAGACCTCCATTGTGAGATGTGCTGACATGCCGCATACTTTTAAGTATATGCAGCCCCACCCAATCTACAGATTCAGTTAGTCAAGATGCTTAAATAGGACTTTACTTTTCACAAAGTCGGAATTTTTTACTCATAAATTCCTCGCAAGACATTCAAAATTCTTCACAAATTTTGCAATAAAGTTATAACTTTGAAATCTCCTACACTAAAGGTAAATACAGTTTTCAAATTATTGCTCTAAATTTCCCCTTAGATTGTATGCATATTTGCATATATATGTACATACATATGCATGCATAATATTTTTTATGAGTTAAAAATTCGAAATTTTACAGTTTATCTCTTAATAATTGCATAATTTTAGCACTTCAACTCTTCACAAAGTCAGAATTTCTGACGCAGAAATTCCTCCAGAGATTAAAAATTCTTTAAACATTTTGCAATAAATTTTAAATTTTGAAATTTCCTATTTAAGCGTAAATACAGTTTTGAAATTATTACTATAAATTCCCCATTAAAGATTATGTACATATTTTCATATTAGATATGTACCTATAACATTTTTTATAAGTTAAAAATCTGAAATTTTACAGGTTATCTTAACAAATTACAGAATTTTTATGAAATTTTGTTAATGTGGATATCTCATTTGTATTTTTTATCAATGTAGATAGATAAATACTTACAATGGAGGCGCAAACCATGTTCAGCCCAGATAATTTTTTGACCTTATTAGTTTGAAAGAGCAAGTCTCTACAAACACCATTTGGTTCGGCACTTGGGCAGATGCGTAAATTTCATCACGTTATGGGCGCCACAAGTTCGCAAAAACGCACGATTTTTCGGGCAATGCCCAGCGCGAGCGTGCGTTTTTGCGAATTTGCGGTGCCCATAACGTGCTGAAATTTGCGCATCTGCCCAAGTGCCGAACCAAATGGTGTTTGTAGAGACTTGCTCTTTCAAACTAATAAGGTCAAAAAAATATCTGGGCTGAACATGGTTTGCGCCGCCATTGTTAGTACATGAATAAGAATGTGAAATTAATCGGCTTAATACGATGATGCAATTCTAAATAGTCGCAAAATCCCTAACAATTAATTTATCCAATTATTTTAATATGCAGCTTGATCCCAGGATATCCGTGGAAATTTGACATGAGATAACCTTGTGATACATCATTTTCATAGGAGAATTGCCATTATTTGGTACCAGGTAGTAAAATGATATATCATTTTAAGGTAGTAATGAATCATTACAAATTGTAATTTACAATGCGGAATGACCATGTGTCTCTACCACGTCGGTTACGATTTGTCGTAGAAATAGTAATAATAATTTCAGGGAAATGCAAATTCATTACCAAATATGAAGGAAGTGAATCCCATTATGCATTAAATTTGAATTTCCCTGAAATTATTATTACCATGTTTATGACAAATCGTAACCGACGTGGTAGAGACACATAGTCATTTTTTAATGATTCATTACTACCTTATTTTGAGTGTAAATATGTAACTTGAGTAAACCAGTTAGTACAAATTTAACAAATTGACTTATCCTGTTCGATTCGGAGTGAGGGGGGCCGTCCATAAATTGCGTAACGCAAGAGGGTGGTCGAAGGCTCTAATGATATCGTGCCTATGGTACACACATGTTAAAGGGGGAAGGGGGGGGGGGTCTAGAAAATCGCGATTTTTGCGTTACGTAATTTATGGACGGCCCCTAAGTATAATTAGCCTACATATTTATTTAATAATCAGGGTAACGCTTTCCGGGCTTACGCGGTAGCCGCAAATGAAGTTCGTCAATTCATCCCCAAAGGAATGGTCGATCAAGGAAATCACGACTGAGTTATTTTGGCATCGTTCCTATGCAGCCAAGGTTAATTTTAAATGCAACAAAATTTCCAAGAAAATTTCGAATTAAAAAATTTTATTATTAAAGCATTGCGACTTGATTATTCTTTCATTAGATGGAAGATTGCAGACCTACGTGGGGAATATCACCTCCAGAAGACAGCTAAATAACATTGAAAGTATCGTTTATGGATAGAAATTTAGAACCTTCCTTCTGAACCAATTTTGCATTAGGATTAATTTAATTTTAAATTGAACAACAGCTAGATACGATGGATATCACGTCACTTCAAATGCACCATTTATTTGATTTACTGCAAAGGGTGCCCTAAATGTGTACTATGGTTTACGCACTAAAATTAGACCCTTTTGGTATCAGGGTCTAATTGTAGAATACACACGTTAGTTACTAGCTTGAATATATATCTATTTATTGTAATTGACGGACTCTCGGTATACCAATACAAGCGGATTCGTATGGACCTAATAACGTACCACGACTTGATCCCGGTTTTGAGGAATCGTACTTTTCGTTAAAGCTGCCCCAATGGGCGTTGTGATTATCGAGCTAAATTTTGTCCGCACATTTTCTAAACATTTCGTTATATTTGTCTTCCTCTCGGTCTCCATTGCTGATAAATTCGCAGATCTCTTCCGCAACGTTGTGATCATAAATAATTATCATCATCAGCTCCGCCAGCAATTACGTCCATGAGTGGCATCACATTTTGAAACCGATTTTCCCCCGTAAAAGGTGGGAGAAGGACAGCGAAGAAAATTGAGTATCCATCCAGTACCAGTTGCACTATGAAGCTTGTTGAGGTTAAGAGAGACCTCATTTTTAGATAAGTTCTTTTCTTTGGGAGACTTTCTAAGAAATAAATAATTAGATAATTAGTAGCGTTAAATTCCACCTGGTTGTACAGGTATTGCTTGACCAAGTCGAATCAGGCAGCGGATGCTCCATTGAGGTAACGGCCGAAATTGTCCACCTTGAATTTGTCTTGCTGGTTTGCCATCATCCTATCGTAGTGGCTTAGAAATTTACTGACGTCCGAGCCAATGCCCGCATCGAAGTCACGGACTTCCTGTGGTCGAGAGACTGCGGATATATTCGGGCTGCATCCAAAGTGTCTGGTGTTGTGACCTGATCCGCTTTCTTCTCCATTGTTGTTCTGCTCCTTTCGTCATCATCGCTGGGGCTTTCCTCTTGGTATGCAGCAATGGCTCGTAGGACATGCGTCTTATTTTACTAGTGGGGTTGGCCTAAGGGGTATGACTTGCCTATCTAGATGTTGCATTGCGTCACGCATCCTCTCACGTGATTGCATAATTTCCAAGCGCAGAAGTACAGGTGATAATTAATGGCGTTCTGTCAGGCACCCGAGGACTGGCAGATCATTTCTAAAAGCTTGAAAATTGGGTTAGACAGACTGTTAGATAAACTGTTACAGATTCCGGGTTTTGTAAACATCCCGAAATTTGTTAATAATTCGGAATTTTCTTAATAAAGCGTCGACTTGTATATTGTACACAGTGTAAGAGTTGCGTGGCAAAGACGACCCTGGAAGAGGTATCGTTTATAATGAAGTCAAAACTGGTAATTATAAACTACTCGGAGGTCCTGGAAAGTATCCGGTTTCATTTTAGTCATTTCGAGACTTCGGGTAAATTGAGCTGGGAAATGGTGGTAATTAAGACAATTACTTTCTGGGCGGTGGACCGGCAAATCTTGACATTTCGATTCGTTCCTCTAACAAGGCGGAGTTAGTTTAATTCGTCTTTTCGTTATTAAGGTGCAGTATCAGGGATGAATATTTCCAAATTACTCTGAACCACTGAAGATTTAAATGCTTCCAATGTAGCCTCCATCATTTTATCTTATTCAGTCTGCGTAAATGTGCTTCTTATCTTAATTTTTTGATCAGAGAGGGTTATCGTTCGACGGGCTATTAGCATCCAAATGATCCGCGGTTTTGAATAAAGGGTCATTATATATTATGAGCGGGCCTTTCATCCGGATTATTGGTTGAATTTGCAACGGAATTTCCTGAAGAATTTGAAATTATACTTGATTGATCTGAGTCATTTTTCCGAAGAAGTACATTTGGCTGCCCTTCAATTGGACCCTTCCCTAGAATTATCGGCGTAAAGGGCCCCGAACGGTACAGGGAGCTTGCTGTGTCGATATTAAGGTGATTTGGCTGACCATAATTTTCGCTGCTAGTGTCATTAGTTTCCAGCTCTACAGACTTCTTCGCAAGTAATTTTTTTGAGGAAGTTTGGAACTTTTATTGGTTGATTTTGAAAAGGTGTTTGAGCCTTGCGTTTGCACATGTCCAATATAAATGTTTGTAACAATGAGCATGACGGATTTTGAGCAAATATATAACATTGTATCAAAATCTTTATCTTTAAATTTATAATTTTCTTCGCACCTATGATACAAATTGTACTACCACACATTTAATGAGTATGATTTTAAGTTGATTTTACAATTTAACATTACGCATTATGATTGGCAGCAATAATTCTTTCTTATAGCTGAAGAGGATAATTTATGATTTAAATTTTTTAACCCTTTTCTAACCGGCCTGGCAAATAACTATGAACTGGACAATTTTAGAAATAGGGAAAAATCCTCCAATTCTGTCAATTCGGTTAACGGAATTCGGTTGTCAAAAGGCAGCGGTGTAAAAAGTGTAGTCAGGAAAGATTTCAAAGCGATTTCAAAGTTTTGGTCCGTACAGGAGGAGGAAGAGTTTAATGAATTGAATTGAATTTATTAATCCCTTTTTTGGCCACTCGGGCCCATAAAGGAGCGTATAATGAATATAGGTAAATAATGGTAATGCTAAAATTGCATAATTATTAGGCATAAAATTGTTTTGTATATATGATTATACATAAATAAGTGGTACACAGTGAGAGGAGACAGAGGAGAGTATTTATTGGAAGAGAGTTAAAGCTGGAGTGATGTACAGATTCATAACTAATTACATATACATATCTACGTAGGCATACATATACCTAACACTACCCTCTCACGAAAAAATTTTTCTTCTGAAAAATAGTCTGAAAGAGTGTGTAGGTTTGCAAACTAAAAATTTCAGTAGTCACAATTTGAATTAGAAATTTTGAGGGTTGGAGACATAGGTAAAATTCATGGAAAAATGAAATATGAAATGACTCCAGAAAACAAACATGAACAAAGATTTTGCATGAATAACACTGAACAATTTAATACACATATCGAATGACGCAGTAATTTTGCAGGGCTGGAACTTGAGAAGATGGTATGGCTCGCAATCGGTGGTGGAATTGTGTCATCTCAGGCGTGGTGGTGGTTGACTCATATAAAACTTGCAGATTGGGACAAAACGATGAACAAAGAAAAATACATTTTTATGGTCGTGGTATGTGGTCCATCGGGACATCGGAGATACATAAATACGCAGACTTGTGAGGGTTTTCTCTGGGTGACCCATAACCGGACAACTCGAAGACGCAGGGTTTTCTGTGGGTGACCCATAACCGTGACGCGTTAAAAAAGGGGAACTATGTACAATGTGGATTTCCATACTTGATCACGCAAATAATATGTAGACGTTGCTCATTACAAACATTAATCTCAAGGCGTTATATTTCATTCTGAGCCTGGGAAAGTAGTGACAACGCAGATCGAGCACAAAAGTTCAGCAGAATTTTGAGACAAAGTGAATCAGATTACATTTTTGCAACAACATTTGATAAAAAATTGGGACAATTTTCCAGACGAAATGAATAAAAATGACTGTTTTTTCATATAATATGCAGAAATTTTGACAAATTTTGAACGAATTTTGATGACAATTTTTCAGAATTTAAACGGAATTTTTTTACAATATTTTTACGATTTTTTAACAATTTTGAAGGACAATTTTGCATATATTTTTTTTGACGTGTTTAAAACAAATAACGGAATTTTAAATTTTGCATATTTGCTCGAATTATGAAATGTAAATTTTGGACTGGAGATTTGGAAATTTTAAGAATGGGGGAAGATTTTCAGGGTGGTTTAGAACCAATTTACAGACCTGATAGCATCCGGGAGGATAATCCAATTTACAGACCAGATGACGAAAATTCACAAAAAAAGTTTCACAGGAAAATCACACAGTTTACGCAAGGTTTTGAGAAGAGAGATTTGGGAAGTTTCCCTATCGTAAGCAAAATGACAAGCTCTAAGGGGCGGTGGTCAAGCTGCTTAGTCGTCGCAGTCGTAGCAAATTTGGTAGGTGATATGTCTTGCGAAGAATTTTGAAAATTTTAAAATCCATTGTGAGTGGGAGGAGCGAAAGAAAGTACTCGACAGTCCACCAATGTTATGTATATATGATTATACATAAATAAGTGGTACACAGTGAGAGGAGACAGAGGAGAGTATTTATTAGTGGAGAGTTAAAGATGGAGTGATGTACAGATTCAGAACTAATTACATATACATATCTACGTAGGCATACATATACCTAACAATATGAATTCCAATTTTTATTTATATGCGTTTTATTTACTGCGTGGAGTGTACGGAAGAGGGTTAGTTGTGTAGAAGAGAGTGGAATGCGTGTTTGCGTTGTAAAATAAATAAATTTAAATGTTTAATATGGAAGAGTCTAATGACAGAATCCATAAGTTGTATATTTAATTGACTTGCCGAATGACATAGCTTGGGCAGATTTTGATCCAGACCTAAAATATTGGCTACAATTAGGGTTGGTTCCATCCGATCCGATAATATCCGATCCGTCGGATCGGATCGGATATTTTTATCCGACCATTTGGTACAGCATTGTTACGCGATTTCGATGGTGGTGGGTGGAGAATTAAGGGGTCTCGGGCTATTCTTCCTTGTAATATTCCTTTATTTCCATTCCACTTACTGACTACTTATCCTAACTTAACCACAACTAACTAATACCGTGGTCCACACCACACTTATCCTAAACTCATACTATCTTAAATTCTCCTCTCCGTCTCTCTCTTTCTCGTCGTCGTATCAGCCTAATTATAGATCCTTGCATGTCCCACATGTCGGATCGTTTGGCATAACACCCCCAACCTTTAAGGAAAAGTCGGGTCCCTTCCGACTTCTGCTTAAAATGGTTGAACTTCAAGTAAGTCACAGGAACTCGGAAGAGTCCGTTCCTCGGACTTACCTTTATATTTTGTTATATTACTTACATATATAAATATTTCATAATAATCAATTAACTCTCTAATTAGATAACGTAATAATCACGGTGTGCTAATCCCCTATTTTACGTACTTATACTAAACATTGATAATTGAACGGAAATCATTAATGATTATGTGGATTCTTGATACTTATACTTTTCGGTCATAATTTCTTCACATCAGGTTACATACATACAATTATTTGATAGATATCACTTTACTATAATTACATATCGGTTCCGAAGCATGATCTGATCAAATTCTTATTACAAACAATTATTATTAATATTATGACTCGTTGGAGTAGTTCAGGTAAACTTTCTTCGTGCTTTGGTTGTCACAAGTGACGAGGAGACTTGTGTAGATGATGATGCTGAATAAGCAAAATGTCGCTCGAAATTTCACCTTTGCATGTTCATTATCAATCAAATTTCGTGATGTCATTTGTCATAGTAGTGATGGGGGTTCTTGAAATTGATAAGTCCGTGATGGAGTTATTCTCATCGACCTTGTCCCCATATACTATGGCTTCAGGTGATTTAACTCGCCTCCACACTCCTTTGTGTCTCGGCTGATGGAGCGAAGGGATTGAAAGGTGTGTGTAAATTCAACACATCGTTGACGAGGTCAAGAGATTGACGACCAGGAGAAATGTCACGATGTCTTCTATCGAAACGTCTCAGTGTCAACGACGGTGCGCTCAACTCTCATTATTATTTGTTGATAGCATCGGAGAAAGGTGAGATTATGACTATTTAAATTACAAGTTGTCGGAGTACATATTCAGATAATTGATATTAAATTACTGCATATTTATCTTCATTTGGGAAACCTAATTGGAATAGGTAATTCAATACATAATGGTCACATTATCGGTACAATGAAAACATTTTGCAATTTTGGATTTATCTCCCCCGACTTTAAATGAAGATATGAGAGTCACGACGCGTAGATCCGTGTGTATACTTGAAGCTAATACAGAATGAGGAAAAGATTGCAATTATTTCGTAAACTTAACGGAGGGTACCGAGAATCGTAGTCATATAGGTACCATATATGTGTGTATAACAGGTCAGATAAAAATGTGAAATAGATTATTGTTTCAACATAACTTGGTAACGGATAAAGTACAGGATTCCGTAGTGAAAATAGACATTGCAAGTTTAACCGGAAGACAATTTTCCAAACCGAATTAGGTTAACTATTTAAAATAGTCGAGTACGTAAAGGTCAAATTATCGCAATAATCAACGGATTTGGTAATTTCTTTTATATCTCCGCACTTTCTCCCCTAACTTTGACGAAAACTGACGAGCAGACAAACACGTTTAAAATCTCATGATTCGTATGGATTAAAAGTTCACGATGTGATTAATGTCTTCTAAAATCTGTTAATGATGAAGACCGTAAGAGATAATCATTACTGAAGAAAGTTGGAGTAAATCGCGTACTCTTGTTGCGACAGTGATGCGTAAGGGAGCACGACACGAATTCGGGGCAGGAAAATTTTCTCCTTATTTAGTATAAAATAAATCATAATGAAAAAGGTGCCCAATTCTATAAGGTACCGAAATTGATAACACATTAAAATCCCATTTGATCAGGATAGATGATAAAAGAGAAAACTATGTCCATTTTTTCCAGATTCAGAGACAATTCGTAGGATGGTATATGCTTTTTTGGAGTAATATTTTTACAAAATGCAAGTTATTTTCAAGTAAATTATACAACTAAAAACTTCCGAAATGCAACTAATTTTAAAGAAATACATACAGAATTAAAATTAGATAATAATCAGGCAATAATAGCTATAAGTAAACTAAATCATAAATATTTGCATTGTTTATAAAATTTCATAAATATTTCAGACATTCATTATCACAATTTAAAAATATAACATGGACAAATCGATATGATTTGATACAGTCTAATCCTGTGTGAATTATAATTATCATTATTTTTCTGGAGAGAGAGAGAGATTGAGCGAGTGGAGAGAGAAGAGAATACCCGAGCTGACAGAGGTGAAGATTTGGTAATGATGCACGCAACGATTTGCTAATTAAGAATCGTCACCAAAATTTAAATGTTGATTTAGTAGCATATGCATACCGAATATTCACCGTTAAGATGCAAGTGGCGATAAAATATTGGTCAGGTATTGATATTTCATTACGCATAAACAGCGCTTACACTCAGTACCATTTTGGTAGCTAGCTTTGAGTACCTAATCAACGCTGAAATTTCGTTGCTCAAAACTTGCAGATTTAGTAGCACAATATTGGCGTTGATAAATAATTCCTGTACAGGCACCTTGTGGGTACGGAAAAATCAATGCCGGATCGGTGCTCATTATCTTCACCACATCAACACTATCTCAGCATTGCCTGTATGTGAGACGCCACCGCCACTTTTATCTTTCATTTTTTGTTTGTGAATCAAATAAAATCAAAGTATCATTCGCATTTATTTCGTCATGTCTGACAAAATTTTAAAGCAATTTTGTGTCGTCGAGTTTATTGCTGACCAGACTATTGAGGTTATTCCAAAAACTTGGCTTTCAGAAGACAACAAAAAGTGTACATTTCCATCGAACAGGCCGAAGGGTTTTAAAAAAATTCAAGAAGATCCTCATTCACGACCGGACCCTTTATGGAAGAGCTGGGAGATCGTTGTCAAGACAAGTTCTGGTAAGACTTTTTTATAAATGCTTTAGACCTAAACAATGATTAAATAATTATTTTTTTGCAGATAGTTTTAATCGTGCTAATACTAAAGCCAAGAAGCATTTAAAGCCAAGTTATATTGATACCAGCGACATTGAAATTGGTGCTGGATCTTCACAATCCACGGGACAAGTGGATGTTGAAGGTATCTAAAGGGTGTTAATAAAGTCCGATCCCATTTTTCCTATAAAAAAGTGAAGGCTAGTATAAAAAAAACTACCCGTGATACTTACAAAAAATGTTCGACATATTTACCTTAGTATTTGGTCTTGTTACCATTTACTTTAACCATGCCCTCAACTCTTTGTTTAAGGCTCTGTGCTAATTTTTCCAATGTGTCTGTGGGAATCGAATTCCATACATCTTGAACTTTTTTTACTAGCTCTTCCCTCGTCCGGGGTTGTGGTTCTTTGTATACATTTTCCTTAAGTATGGACCACAGGTTCTCCAGGGGATTCAAATCTGGGCTGTTTCCGGGCCACACCCCCTTGCTCCAGACCGTTGAAACTTGCGTCTTGATGAGACTCAAACTCGCTTTTGCTGTATGGGCTGTAGCACCATCCTGCATGAAAACTATTTTTCTTTCATTCGGAAATATTTCCTTGTTCCCCATGCTATCGAAATAGATAGGTAATATTTTTTCCATATAATACTTTGCATTGACTGTTTGGCCTTTTGGTATGATATGTAGAGGAGTCACGCCACGTGCACAAAATCCACCCGCTACCATAACTTTAAGCCCGAATTTTGGGACTGCTCTTGATGGTACATCCGATTTGTTTTCTGTCCTGTAACGAACATTTTGTTGGTTCAATTTTGGATATAGCTCAATAATAGATTCGTCAGTCCAAAGGATGTGACTGCGCAATTCTTCACCAAGTCTTTTTTCACTCAAATGGCCACTTTTCTGAAGGAGTTCTCCAAATTTCAGACGGTCATCGATATTTTTTTGTTACATGAGAGGTTTTTTGGTTAGTTTGTAAGCTGTGTGACCCCACCTCGTAGATTTCACAAATTTTTGCACGGTCACATAGTTAATTTGCTTCTTCTTCTCTTTATAGCGTTTTGAGTCATTTAACTCCCTTGCACAATTACGTAATGAACTACCGGTTTTCTTGTAAAGTCTGTTTTTAATCATTCTCTTTGTGGTAGGTGACACCTTTCTGGGTCGCCCGGGTCGCTTTTTGTCGTGGACAAAATTTTTGTTCTTCCATTTCCAAACAGTTCTGCGGCTGCAGCCCAATTTTTGCACAATTTCTGCAGGTTTAAACCCCTGCTGATGCAATGTTTGTATCTTAACTCTAAGATGCTCATGACTTACACGTTTAGTTGTTCCTCCCATGGTAAAAATTTGAAATAAATAACTTCACTGGTTCAAAAGTTCCAGCTGAATTTGTAACAACCGCGCTCCAAAAAATTCATGGGATCGGACTTTATTAACACCCTTTATATGAATTTTTAAGAATTTTACAAATTTAAAGAATATTTAAGCAATTATTTCAATTACTAGGCAATGAAGAAATTAGTATCACGAATCAAGCAATTGAACCAATTCCTATCACAATTAATTATGATGAGCGTCTCTCCACTTTAATGCAGGAATTTCGGGGTATGTAATTATTTTTATTATAAATCGTAAATCGTGGTATAAGTGGATATTGCAATTAATTTCAGCTTTTAACTCAGCATTTCAGGTGACTTCGCTCCAAAATCAACTGATTTTACAAGAAGACATCAAAGACCTGAAAACAATAATATTGCGGTCTCTCAGTACTCCTTCACAGTTACGGTCAAGTAATATCGTTTGGCCAATCAAAAACCAAGAACAATTACAGCAAGTGAACGAGATCTTTGCTGCCGACAATACTTTATTTAATCTTGAGGTAATTTTTAATAAGTTTATCTTGTTATGCAATTTTATGTATCAGAAATGGCGTACTAATAAGTTATCATATGTACATATATTTTAAAGGTTACGTTCTTCTCGCGACTAGGAGGGGATTCAGTGACGCTTGCTGTCAACAACACGTTAAAGGCAATCATCAAACATGAGTTTGCACTAATTTTGAGGTTCACAGATTCCTCTAACAAAGCGGCATTTGGTGGAACTCTGTGCTGTAAATTAGTTATGTAAACGTCTCGAGAGATATAAAAGCGAGATATTAAAATTAATTTGTTCATTTATTTGGTGTAATTTACAGAATCCGTCCGCCAGTTCTACTACAAAGATGGGAATGTTCTCTCTGAGAAAATAAAGCTGGATTTAGTTGAAAGCAGATTGGATTCATTCATTGCTAAGTGGCTTCGGGATTCAGTTAACAGGGGAGAGGAAGGGAAACAAAAGCGTTCGAAGGCGAAAAATGCAGGCACCGAGGTCAACAAAGCGCGGGAGGGTCTAGAGGCGGCTGAGTCAAATGCTGAATCAGATTAGAACCGTACGTGTAACTACAAGTTTGCCACAATCATCAAACAATTTCGAAACAACCCCATTTGTAATAAATAATAGTCTAAGTTGTGTTGAACCTTATTAAAATGACAATATTGTAAATTCATCTCAAATTGAATACAGTAGTAGTAGTAGTGATGATGAAAGTAATCATGAATTACACAATGAGATTGGTAGGATTTCCAACCTTAACCACATGTCGTCCCTTAGAAACTGGGCAGTAAACCACAATATTACTCACGCTGCCTTAAAATATTTATTAGAAATATGTCGCAAGTGGTTACCTACTTATGGCTTACCAATTGATCCGAGAACATTATTACAAACTCAGCGAGAAGTTCGGCAAGATATCGAAGGAGGCCAATTTTATCACTTTGGTTTAGAGAAAGGGTTAGCTAGAATCTTAAATTATAAGCAATTTGGCCAAAAATGTACCAAGAAAGTGGAAGTTAGTGGGGCTCCACTACAACTCCACAACTCAACCCAACTCAACTCAACTCAACCACAACTCCATGGGGCCCTTGATAATTTTAGTGCATTTCCATTCGAAAATTTTATGCAAATAATAAAGCGTATGCTACGTTCTAAAAATGCACCGTTAGCTCAAGTAGTTCGACGGCTATCAGAAATAGATTCAGTCCCCCCTAAATTTTCTGCCCAAAAACTAAATTCCTCCCTAACCCGATTTTTTTGCAACGAAACACAACCAAAATCTTATCCTATTTATTGCAAACAATTAGAGATAGGGTATGCACATAAACTGGGAATTTTACAAAAATTAGACCCCACAATTCTATCAAGGAAGTGTACTCTTCTTCCTTGTAAAAAGAAATATTTTTTCGTTTCATTGTGTAATTCATATGAAATCAATCATACTTAGCTATGTTTATTGCTTATATATGTTATAATTCTGTACATATAAAATATGAATCGATTCTTGTTCCAAATTAATTGTAATAAATAATTTTGATTTTTGGATACGAGATTTGCAATACTCATTTACACATTGTCATTATTTCAATGCCGAAATTTCGTTAAGTACTGTGTAACAAATAACCGGCATTTAGACAATGCTGTTAACTAGGTATTGATTAGGCAACGAAATTTCGTTAAACGAAGATCGAACCTCGTTCATTCGTTACTGGTCATCAACGCCCAATCAATACATGATCCTGTCCCATTTCGTTGCTGTTTCGGCACCAAGAGGTGCAGGTACCCAATCAACGCCTATCTGGCAGCTCGGGTATGCTGTAAAATTGAACAACAATAATTAAAACCAAAATCGGAAGTTCGCATGCATAAATGATAAATTTATAAATAAGAAAACTTATCCCGTCACCAATTTCTACCAATTTATATAAGCGGCCAAGCAGAGAAACTGAAATTTAAAAGAAAATATTAATTTTCTTAAATAAAAACAATGATATTGCGGGTATCGTCTTGCTCTACAGGATACCAGACTAACTGAAAATAAAATAAAATGACATATTCAAATGAAAAATTAAGAATATAATTCAGTGTCAATTTTGAGCCGTATTAGACGTTGCTCGATTTAATTAAATCCACAACTTATGAAGTTTTTACCATTTTAATACCTGACATAACTAAAACATTTCGTTTACCGTGTAACCTTGTGTAAGACTTTAAAGAGATTTTTCCAGTCCTTCCTCAATTGTTATTCCGTTTACATATGATGTTATTTTACCAATAATCCACCGTCTTTCACGTCGTTCATAATTGTCATAATAATGACATGCTCATAAAAAATGAAATTTCTTACAATAAGCAATATTTGGGACTTACGTAACGACATATTCTCCTGCCAATTGTCAAGTTTTAGTTCACAGGCACATCATAATTTTATTTTCGTAATTCATAAGTTATAATTTAATTTTTTAAATATTTTGAATGGACGACGCAATTGACGTGAGTCCGCCGATTGTGAACATAGCGATAAAAATAATAAAATCCATGTCTGGATGAGGTGCGTAATTTTTGACTACCCAAAATTTTGCTTTTAAAATCGAAGTATGAATATCATAGGTCAGGATTAGTGAAAATATTCAATTACTTGAATCCATGGTGTCTTTTCTTGTGTGGTGCAACAAATTCATCTCCACATTTATGTACGTTCCATAAGATTACCATTTTTCCTCTGCCTTGATAACTGATTTGCACAAATGCTTGTGTTGAGTTTGGTAAAAAATTGAACCTAAAATTACCAGTGAACTTATCCATCCATTGTGTATTGTCATGCAATTTTGCTGATAGAAACTTGTTATCTAAAAAAACGACATTTACTCGGTTTACGCTATTTACCAACTTTACGAAAATTTACGAAGGCTACGGAAATAGTAGTGATCACAATATTCTAAATTATAACTAGAGGTAGAAATTAATGCAATAGTTCTTCCCGAATTGTGATACATATGTAATTACTTATAAAGGCAACGGCAAGACCCGTGTCCCATTTTCGGAACGATCATAATACACCTAATAAAAGCTGGGTCGGGATTTTGCAATACTTTTGTCAAACCCATTTTCTTGTGAAAGAATTAATTTAAATTAATGCAGGTTTTGATTTTGTTTATACGCAGTTAGGTGGTCAGCCCTTCTGAATAAAACATTGACCTTTATCCAAAGTATTCCTTTGACCGAAGAATACTTATGATACGGATCCATTTTAAGATATTAATCGAGTACGAGTGAAAACTCAATCTTTCTAAGTGGACAAGTTTTTCACGAAAATCTTAAAAACGACGAGATAATAAATATGTATGCGCGAAACAACTTCCTATTTTCCATCTAGCTTATGACGTATTCTAATCAGTGTGTAATAAGCAAAGGAATGCATCCTACACAATTTCCCTATCAATTGTGAATCCTTACAAAACCCATCAGATAAGAGATACTGTAGCGACCAGTTCCCTTCTGATTTCCCTGGCGCGTCCAACACGCGTCCCTTTAGGACCGGAATTCGAATTTCCTATTACCTCTGCAGGAATGATATCCTCTGCAGGAATTATTATATTTTGCAGGAATTATCAATTTCATCTGCAGTGATTTTGCCAGTTATTATGCATATTCCATGCATTTACATAATTTTTCGTATTTCTATTTACCACGTGGACCACTGGCCGAAGTCACGTCTGACTTAAACTCTGCTTCCTCCTAATCTATTGCAGCTCTCACACCACTGCAACTGATTACCTAGTCCCCTTTTTATATTATTTTTCCATTTTATTATGCTTGCATGTCGTCACCAATACATGCGTGAATATGAACTCACATTAAGAAAATGGTGAACGGAGAAAGTGACTTTTTCACATTTTTTTCTAATTGACTTATTTTTATCGTTTGTTGTGCAGAAACTATCCACATTATATTATATAAATTTAAGCAGATTCAAATAAGCAGAAAATATGGTGCGTGCACCCCACACGGCCTTAGATTATGAAATGCATTCAAACGTATGAACCCCATTCTTTTTTTTCAAATTTTCATCATTGTCAATTGCTAAATTTCCGATGATTTTTTACCTACTTTTTATGGCGATTCCCCTTTTGTTAATTAATTCTACGCCAGTTGCACCAAACGATGATGCAAGAAATTGCGATTTTATGTAATTAAAACTACGGTGCCGCCCAGTGAATGAATGATATGTGCACGGGAGAAAGTAATAATATGAAAAACCTGTCTCATTTGCACATTACAAGTTGATCATCGTGGCTTAAAAGTATATTGAGGACATACTTAAATATTAAGGTTTTCGTTCGTGTGATGAGGTACGGTATGCATTATGAAAAAGCTGAACCCAGATTATGTCATACAGTAAATAAGTAATTTTAAGTCCTATAAAGAATGTATCTCACCTAACCCTTCCGATACGTAATGTGTGATCTTATTAATCAGTGTGGTTGTGGGAAAATGAGAATCGGTTTGGCATAAGCTAAGTGTATAAAGTGCAGTCACAGTGGCACTGTCACACTGCATGCATGAGTATTATTAACCCTGTGCCTCATGCCTATGTACACAAATTGAAATAAAAGAACGGCAAATCCTCGTCAACTTTACTCGTCTTTTTTTTGCGAAGGGAAGAAACGAGTGAGTGATAATCTCTGGGCCTAAAAATAAATGCTACTTTCTGGGTTTATGACGTAGTCGGATCCCGGATCACTTACCACTTTGTAACTTAGTAAGTAGTACACTACAAAGGTATATATATATATTTATTTCGTATAGAGTTGTTCGTATTTGTGCTAGTAGTGAAGGCTTGCTAATGCTAAATGTATCAGCCTGCCAAAGTTTACGGAAAAATTCATGAGGTAATTCCTTTTCTGGACATGGACAAAAATAAATTCGGCAGAACATCTGCTAACCTCCGGAACTAAATACATGCACTACCTCGTAACAATAGAAATTGTCAAGGTGCCCTCAAGAAACAGAATTTGCAAATAACTTATTATTTAGGGTGGCATACTAGTGATCTATTTTTGTGTGTGCTGTGAAGGTTGCGATGCATTTCTTGGCTGCGAATTAACTCAATGATGGGTTAAATGTTGGTCTCCTGCTGCTCTAAGGTCGAATTGCTTATGCAGGGAAAACGGATCATATATTTTTAACTTTCCCCATTCAGTTTTATTTTTGGGCATAGAGATGCACCCGGACATACATCGAATATTTATCTACTAATATTTATCTACTGCGTTAAAAATTTATTCTCGCATGACTTGAAGATATGACCCGTACACACGTATTGACATGATTTCCTGAAGTTTTTAATAAATTATTCGCATAAATTCCTAGAAATGGGATGAAATATGTAATCGAATTTTAAATAATACAATGAATTATGAGATTCCAAAATTTTGCTGAAGTTTTCAAACATTTCCGTGTACACCTATATATGCATAACAAAATTGGCCAATAAATTTTATCCCTCATTTGAGATAGTTAAAGATGAATACCTAACCGTGCTCTGCTCATTTTAATGCAGTAAAAGTTAGTAACACACTTGGTTTAGCATTATTATGCAATGTGTATTACACGAGTTAGTTAACCACACTAAAAAATACGGGGTGACAATGAAGGCAATTATTTTTCCGAATAAACTACCAATTCGCTCCAGGTAAGTTAGCTGCAGCTGACTGGTAGGGCAGTACTATCGAACTCCCCACCAGACCAGAACAACCTCCTCCCCCAGAACGGTTTAAAATTAAAAAATGAGCTAGTTCCTGCCAATCGCACTGACATGAATAGCGAGACTATATTCGTCAATACGATTTTCCAGAACTGCTCATAGATCTACTGAACAATGCCAACTTCATACCCGTACATACCGATTATTATCGAGTCGAATTGTAAGACAATTATTTATTGTTATGTGTTAGTGCAATTTAAGGAAGAATGAATTTTGATACCCGAACCTGAGGTAGATTTCCCCACCGCAGTAGATTCGTCGCGTCGCCAGACCGAGTCCGAGTTGGAGTCCTGAGGAAACGATGCCCCCAGAGGTACGTCCCCTCAGGAAGGTCCAACTGGGGTTGAGCCCCCATGTTACGCGATTTCGATGGTGGTGGGTGGAGAATTAAGGGGTCTCGGGCTATTCTTCCTTATAATATTCCTTTATTTCCATTCCACTTACTGACTACTTATCCTAACTTAACCACAACTAACTAATACCGTGGTCCACACCACACTTATCCTAAACTCATACTATCTTAAATTCTCCTCTCCGTCTCTCTCTTTCTCGTCGTCGTATCAGCCTAATTATAGATCCTTGCATGTCCCACATGTCGACTGCAATAAGCCTTTAGTGCTTGCGCAGCTGACGGTCCTGTCCAACAATGGCAGGATCGTCACCCCACCAATACATACATGTCCCACATGTCGGATCGTTTGGCATAACAACATGGTCGGATAATATCCGATCCGATCCGACGGATCGGATTGGGTCGGATCGGATACATGTTATAGTAAGTGGTCGGATAATCTCGGATAATCCGATCGGATCGGATCGGATCGGATGACCAACTCTAGCTACAATTCTATATGAATGCTTTCTTTCATTTGATACGAATGCAATACAAATAACATTCACACCATAAATACACATTTAGGTCATCGTCAATTATTAGTGACGTAATCCCTATTTATTTATTTTGAACGTATTTTGAACGAATATGTAACACTGTCTCAAAATCTTTATCTGTAAATTGGAAATTTTTGTACTTTTTATAAATCGTACTACCACAGTCAGGCAATGCAAATTCTAGTTCCGCTTCAAGTGGCGAAGGAATTACTTCGATTGGTGAAGGATCGTCTTCGATTATCTTCTCGCCGTCTTGTCCAGAACAATTCTGGAGTCAAAAACATGCAAAGGAAACTTTTGATTAAGGGAATTTTCATGAAATGCAATAAATGTTCATGAACAAGATAAGAGTGCGGTTTAAAAACCCTAATGGTTAGGGTTTTTAAACGTATGACACCATAATCTATTTTTAGGCATGTTTAGTGCACAAAATACAATTTTGGAATACGGTGAAAAATCGGATACAACCCGGTTTTCATAAACCATTGAAGCAAAAACTTACTATGGTAGTATACAGCTGAAAAATAAGATTTCAGGTCAAAACCTGGGCGCCTAGATGTTTTGCCCGGGTAAGATTTTTGGCAAGATCGGGGCCTGCCATAGATTCAAAGAGGGTAGTTTTGAGTTGAAATTACAATTTAACTTATTTTATTTTGATAGTTTATTAAACTCTTCCTAGTTCCGAGGCTGAGCTCCATAGTGACAGAGATGAACCAGACCAAGTGTTCCATAAAAGCATTTTCCATATTTCGCGAAAGAAAGTGTTAAACACGGGTTCTGGTGGGTATCAACTACCATCGCGCGTGAGTGTCGTATCCGTCGCACTTTGTCGCGCTCACCCAATCATGCGTATAATTTAATTAACTATACTGGGTTACTTAAATGTTAGCTTATCAAAATACAAAAAAATTAAATGTTGGTATATCATTAGCCCTCGTTTGTTACGGCACTTGCCGTATAACCCCTTCCCTCAGAAACTTTGACCCCAAAAAACTCCTTGTCCCAGCCATTTGCTTCGGACAACAAAAGCTGAAAATGTAGCTCTTCCCAAGAGGAAAAATCTGGCATCAGGTTGTCAGAAGCAAATGGCTGGGGCAAGGAGTTTTTTGACGATTTCTGTGTACGCAAAAAAACCGCCAATTTTCGAATTTTGAAACTCTTGATGCATCAAAATGTTCGTATTCCAGGGGGAAGTCAAATTGCAAATGCAAGTATAGGTCTAACTCTTGTTCTACAAGATCTATATAGACTTTCTAATTTTTCCAAACTTTCTTTTATTTTTACAGGGGGTGTGGTTGCACGTTATTCAAAAAATTCTATGGGACATTACTCATTGTACCCATAATTTCAGTTACAATTAATTTTATTTAATTCAATGAAATCGATGCGAAAAACTATGGAACATATCCGTCATTTTATCTCTACATCATGCAGCATGTCATAATTTATTTATTAATTAACTTATGTACTTTAATTTAAATAAGCTTTGTCATCTTATATACTAAATTTTACATTAACAAATCTTGATTTGAGTTCTGATTACAATTATTTGCGAAAATTCATGAGCATTACGTTGCTATAATTTTACAAATAAGGGTTAATAAGTTAAATATTATATTATAATTATTGTATAATCAAATATTATATTGTTTTTTATTGATTATTTGACGAAAATTTGTTTTAGGGTAAGTTCGCCATTTCCACAATTTAATTAACGTCAAGCATCATGATCTGCAGCAATAATCTTTCTTTTATAGCTAGATATGTAGGATACTTCATCATTTAATGCATTTTTTATGCTTAAATATTTAAATTACGTTTGCAAAGTTAGGAGGCTAGAATTTTGATTTAATTCTTCCATGAAAATGGTAAAAACAAATTAAATATGTGCTCTTGGAAATCAAAATTATAACCTTTCCAAACCTTAAAACCTTAAAATACCTTAAAATTATTGATGTTTAGATGCAATAAAATCTTCATTTTTTAAAAAACCTTTTAAAAAATGATGATTGATAAGGATATCAATTGATAAGGATTGACAAAAACCCTTAATTTTAAGACTGTCCCCGAGAAATTATCTGCTTGCAGAATTGTTCCCAACAAGTGTCTAAACTCGTTTCAAACGTAAATAAATACTTGCTCACTTACATACATACCTAATTTATAATTAATTGGTCGATAAGGTTACCACAAAATTGTACTACTTCAATGTTTGATAAAATTTTTGTTAATAAAAATATACATTTATAAAATCTCATGATGCAATATGTATACTTACGTTCATCTAATTTACACGTATGCAGACACGGCCAAAATTTAAATCTTCAATCAATGTCGCATCAAATACGTTCCCGTCGCAATGATACGATACGTTCTCACAAAATTCGAAAGGAACCCAGATATGAAAAAAAATCTCATATTTTTTTTAATCTGAAAAACAACTCTACTAACGCATTCCATCTCATCCAAAAACCAATTATTTTTTCTCCCACCTCAGTGACCTCGAGGAATGCATAAATTTCGCCAAGACCTCTGCTTCTGCGGGTGGAGTGAACCTCACGTTCGAAATTTTCTCCAGGGATGGTCAAAATACTTTGTTTGCGTCAGTCATGCAGAAATCGGGATAACTGACTTTTGAATGAATACTAAATTTTTGAACAGGTATGGCAGACTGATAGAACTTTGAAGATGTGGTCCACAAGTTGGTTGGGCATGAACCAGATTGAAACCTTGGCTCTCCTGGGATCTTACGTTGAAATGGAACAGTATGCAATTACACAGGTATTTATTTACATATATAAATATGCGAATTTTACTCTTAAATAACCAAATTTTTGATAAAAACTACGTATGTAATTCTGATCCTCGATTGTTTATATTTTTTAAGAACCACCAAATTGTTCGAAAAATGAATCTCCAATGTCCCTCAGTCTCAAAGGATAACTT